AATCAGGCATGCTGAGGACTAGTTCCCTCTCCATGGAAAGCATGGCCAGTGCATTCAGACGTTCCTGGCCCATTGAATTTCGCAGGAATGTCTTAACTCGTGTCAAAGTTGAGAAACATCTCTCAGCTTCAGCTGTTGTCATGGGAGTAGTTATGAGGATGTTCAACAGAGTCACAGTCTCAGAGAACGTCTCCTGGAGGTTGTAGCTCATGAGAACCTGGTACAGTGCCAGTGCACCACAGCAGCCCTTGAATTCAGAATTCTCATAGATCAGAGATAGTTCTGTCTTGAGCTTTGCCTTGCTCAGCATGGGGTATGCATTCACAGTGGCATTCAGAGCCTCATCAGGAAATGAATGGCAGTACCTTTCAAACATGTCTGCTTGCAGTAAGGTAGCACTCACAAGGTGGCCAGAGAAAGAGAACCTTTCTTTGGTGTGATCCAGGATGGTGTTGCAGACCTCTTCAGACAGCCTCTGCTTCTCCTCTTCTCTCAAAGCTGTTCTGGGTCTTTTGGCTCCTGTTGCTTCTTGCAGCTGCTGTTGAGAGGAGTCCCTGAAGGCAAACAGACCAATGTGTTTGTTGGCTTTGTACAGTATTGTTGTCTATGTGATGCACAGGTATATGCAATGTATCCATGTATAGTACAAATACTTCAGTTCCACTTAAAATGGGCAGGGATGCATAAAGTCTTTAGTGTTTAAGTTAGCCTTTGTGTCTCACATAGCCTGGATGTTCAGCACAGTATACAGTGGTGCTCATAAGCTGATGAGCCCATGCTAAAGTTGACTAAAAAGAGGAATAAAAAAGAAAAGAAAATTGGTGTCCTTAAAGGTTGGATTTTCCAACTTTTTTAATTAAGTCATTAGGATCAATTTCCTTTTTAGTCAACTTTAGAATGTGTTCATACACTTATGAGCACCACTGTACAGTACACATAGTATATAAAATAAGCTAGATTACACCACTGGCCATATATAATGAGAATAATGTAATTTCAAACACAAATGCAGTCTCCTTTCATGCATACATTTTCAAATAAAGCTCTGCTTTGAGAAAGATCGAATGATATTGTTTAATCTTACCTTATGGCCTGCACACTGCTTGTGAAGCTGTCGAGGGCACGTTTGATGAAGACAGCATCGATGTCCTTCTTCTGTAGCTTCTGGTACAGAATGTCGACGTGGGGCATGATTTTGTGAAAAAGCCCCAGGAAAAAAATAAAATCATCATCATGTAGCAAGCATCCTCACGTAGCCAGATGCCTCTCTCACGGTGGGCTGGTCAAATGAACCCAATGAACCTGTCCGGATGGCTTCAAAACATTCTATGAGGTCGTCTCGATTCTCGTAGACAGTGTTCACGACTCTGCTGTTGAAGTTCCACCGTGTGGATGAAGGTCTGGGCAGTCTTCGTGCAACAGTCTGGTCAAGAATGCTGGTGCGTTTGGGTGACCGGGAAAAAAAAGTTGCAATCCCGCTCAGATCAGAAAAGAAAATGTTCACTTTTTTGATGGGAGAAGTAGCTTGCTGCATGATCAAATTCAGCTGATGCGCATAGCAATGCACGTAATGGGCATTCTTGAAATGCTCACGCACCTTTTGCTGCACACCAGCCTTCTCTCCCCTCATCACACTGGCTTCATCGTAAGCTTGCGCAATGAGTTTGACTTTCTCGTCGTCGGCAAAAAGACCGTTCAGTCTCTCCAAAAGCACACTGGCGATTGAGATTGAGGTTGATTCCGAGATGGGAAGGAACTCAAAAAAGCGCTCCTGCACTTTGTGGTTGCTATCTATGTACCTCAGCACAAGCACCAGCTGTGTCTGTGTAGAAACGTCCGTGGTCTCGTCAGCTTGGATAGCTACGAAGTTAGCCGACTTCACCTCCTCCACAATATGTTCCCTCATGACCGCTAGCATACACTCCAGTAGCTCGTTTCGAATGGTCTTTGATGTGCCCTTGAAAACTTTAGCATTTTTAAGATGGTCATCAAACACCTCATCTAATTGTGCCACAAAGTTGACAAGTCCAAGAAAAATACCAGGGTTGGCGGAGCCCTCAGTTTCATCTTTGCCTCGCAAAGCTAGCCATCTTGACAGTAGTACGTGAATTGATTGACGCTGCTACCTGCTCTTTTCTTAGTTATGTTCATGGTTACTTATGTTACGTATGACGAAAGCGCGTAAGTGCAAGCCCTCCCGGAACCCATAGAGATTGTATTGAAAGCTCTGATATTTGAAAAAAAAAAGAATTTACATGAGAGTCTATGAGAGACTTCTGGGGCGATTTTCAACCTGACTGAAATCGCCCCAAAAGGGGCGGGGCCATTTGAAGCACGACTTTAGCCTGATTGGACATTTAGTGGCAGATCAGACGTCTAGATTAGAACACTGATAACTACCGGGGGAGGACTGCCCGTTCCATGATCTCGCCATCACGGTTGACAACTCCGTTGTGTCCTCCTCCCAGAGTGCGAAGAGCCTTGGCGTGACCCTGGACAACACCCTGTCGTTCTCCGCTAACATCAAGGCGGTGACCCGATCCTGCAGGTTCATGCTCTACAACATTCGGAGAGTACGACCCTGCCTTACACAGGAAGCGGCACAGGTCCTAATCCAGGCACTTGTCATCTCCCGTCTGGATTACTGCAACTCGCTGTTGGCTGGGCTCCCTGCCTGTGCCATTAAACCCCTACAACTCATCCAGAATGCCGCAGCCCGTCTGGTGTTCAACCTTCCCAAGTTCTCTCACGTCACCCCGCTCCTCCGCACACTCCACTGGCTTCCAGTTGAAGCTCGCATCTGTTACAAGACCATGGTGCTTGCCTATGGAGCTGTGAGGGGAACGGCACCTCTGTACCTTCAGGCTCTGATCAGTCCCTACACCCAAACGAGGGCATTGCGTTCATCCACCTCTGGCCTGCTGGCTCCCCTTCCTCTGCGGAAGCATAGTTCCCGCTCAGCCCAGTCAAAACTGTTCGCTGCTCTGGCACCCCAATGGTGGAACAAGCTCCCACCAATTTGTAAGTCGCTCTGGATAAGAGCGTCTGCTAAATGACGTAAATGTAAATGTAAATGTACTGTTGCCGTGATATAATTGATTAGAAAAAAAATCCCTTCCTTTTCCCGTTTGGCAGTGCGTCGCCCATATCGCCCTAATGAACACACCGCCCCTGACCCTAGGGTACGGATATACTGTGAACAAGATTCAGGGAAGATAAGATGATCGAGCCCAGCTAACGTTAGCTAGCGAGTAGCGACCATAGCATATTTTCCAGCTTTAGGTAGCTAGTCAAGGTTAGAAAACTAGCTTGCTAGAGTGCTAGCTAATCCCAAAAAACTCAACAGATTGCATGGAAAGTCTATTCTGTAGATGGTAACTAGCTAGCCTAGTTGTTATGGTAGGCCCAACAAAAACGCAAGCTAACGTTTGCTAGCTAGCTAGCTACAGTTAGCTAACATTAGCTAGGCAAAACTAGCCTACTACCTATTCTAAATTGTCCAGCAGAATGAATGTATAAATACAATTTTGCATGGAAAACGTACTTTCTCTCTCCAGTGTTGACGTTTTTGACCTTCAACACTTTGTTGCTTTCGAGGCAATCTTTCATGTCTTTATTTTGGCTGGAAATGGACAAGATAAATATTGTGCGCCCCTGCCTTTGACAAAGTGGGCACTTCTTATCACAGGGCGGCATCAGCGCTCACCTAAAAAAGCCCATATGCCACTGGTTGAGAGAAAATGTCATTGTTTTGGGGCAGAATTATTTGTGGTTTTATGTGTTGTTGCTGCCCTCGTCTATCTGCCTAATGAGCGGGCTGTCCCAGTTCCATACTCCTTAAAGAGTAGGGTTATTGTAAGTACACTTCATATTTATTTCTAAAGGAAATAATTTATCTGTAAATAAGCATTACCCTATTTATGGTGAATAAATCAAATGTAATATCTATGGTCTAGACTGGATTATATCAATACTAATATGTTGGGGTGTTGATAAAGCTATGGAGCTTAGATGTAAGAAGTGGGGGTTGTGTGAGAAATTGGGTTTAGGTACAAGTTTGCTGCCACGCTGATGTGTGGTAGTAAATGAATGTTTTGTTTATTTAAGGACATGGTATTCAGGAAATTTTGCCCTGCATCTCAATTTTTGTTTGAATCTCTTTTAAGCTGTGGGGAGAAAGGCCTCTTCCCTCGAGAGTGTTTATAGCTAGATAGAGGAAGTGGTTCTTGCAGCTGACTCCCTTCCTGTAGCGGTGGCCTCTGACTAGTACACACCAGCAAATCCACCAGCAAAAACAGGACATCTGTCTCAGGATTAGAGACAAGGACTATAGAAAGTACAGTACTTTGCTCCCTGTGGAGCATAATGCAGCAACAAGCCCTTGCCATGCAACAAGCCCTCAGCTTTCCCCCAAGACAGGCCCATGGTCTTCAATCCTTTGTGGTTGAATCAGAACTAGAGGTTAAAGTTTAAAGGACATCAAAACCATGTTGTCCTGTCTAATTTGGTAAAGGCCAGTTGAAGGTAGGCAAAGTATTCCATTCAGAAACCAGATCATATAGACATAGCATTACTTTCATTTATAACTTTATTCTTTCAAATGTATGAGGTGATCACATCAGAGCCAAAGCAAAGTAGCAGTCGAGGATAAATTATCACACTTGAGGATAAAGTTCCTAACATAAATAAAGCATGGAAAATACACAATAACTAAGACATTGTATTTTATTCACACCAACTGACATAACTGTAACTCTTGCGATTGCCATATCAACAGAGTTGATTGGAATTTGTTTTAGCGCAGCTCATACAAACAAAAACAGTAGACAATAAAAACAGTATCACAAAATAAAATACAAAACATCCATAAAAGCATTAATATTTGATGATCGAGGGCCTCTGTACATACTAGTGTCACGTGCTAACCAGAATAGTATTGTCCTCACTAAAGTGATTGTGAGAGGAAGCTACTAGACTATTGAGACGCAGGCACAGTGTCGTCAAGGTGAGGAGGTGTTGAAGATCCCCCCCCCCGGGGGTCGGCAGGAGGGGAAGGGGGAGAAGTCCTTACGGGCGAACAGGAAGACACCGCTCGGTTTTAGTAGTAACAGTAACCGCAATAAGTCCGCCATCATGGCGTGAAGCTCCGGGTAGGCATGCTCCGCCTTCAACTCCTCCTGCAACACACACACACACGTCAGGTCATGTGGGAAACTTAGGGGTTAGTGGTTTAAGAGTAAGGGGCTAGGTGATATTAGGGGGTAATGGTAGGGAGTAGGGAAAGACTACCTTTCTGTCCAGGAACTTGGAGTGCATCTGCATGTTCTCCTCCCACATGAGACGCCTCTTCTCAAACACTGGCTTATCATCCCTCAACTCTGACCCACAACACATACACACAAACATGTACATATGGGGAACATTCCTAATAGTGTGTGTGTGTGTGTGTGTGTGTGTATGTGTACCTGTGTGTATTTGGGGCGGGAGCAGCAGGGGTCTCATGTTGCCGGGAGAGCCCACCTGCACTCAGCTGGCCACGTGCCTAAACAGGAACAGGTTATGAAATCACACAGGGATAAGTTACAAGTGCTAACCAGAAGATCTGTGTTAGATAGACACAACTTGTCCCTTTAACCCAAACTGTATTGTGCACATATTCTATTGGTTGACACTACCTCCTAGTGGACAACATGATAGCACAAATGTCAACAAGCAGACCATTGAGCATTGCACTATGACACAATATTCAATATATGACAAATAATAAATGCACTTCTCCCTAACATTCCTCTGAAAGGGGGGGATCACAGGTAAATGGAAAAAATTACATGATTACAAGACATGTTGAATGATACAATGGCTTCAATGAACACAATTACATGAATTTTCAGAGATGTGTCAGATAAAAACACAATATCATTGCGTTATCATCATTGCTAAGAACAAAAAGGTGTAGGACATTACAACAAGCCGTGGCAGCATCTTTGCTTCAGCAGTGTAAGTGTTCGCCTGCAGAAATCATTAGCATGGAAACTGGAAAATTGTATTAGGCTCTGTGTACTTTCCACATAAGAAGATATTTGGTAATGTCGCCTGAAATAGATAGATAGCAATTTAACAAGCCATAGTCGTGGTGAACTTCAGACTTTTGACAATGTGCAGTGCACTGTTTAAATCGGCTTATGCTCAGGACTGAGAGACCAGACTAGGAAGGAACACAACACAGTGTAGCTAGCCTGGAATCCAAATTGAATTCAATAGTGAAACTATAGTGAAACAAACAGTGATTTCAGTTTGGATCCCAATTTAAAGTGTAGCAAACATGGTGATTAAAATTAGTTGGATTAGCGGGGGTGCTCCACAGGGGTGCACATTTTGTTCTGGCCCAGCACCAACATACCAGATTCCTCTTCTCATGGTCCAGAAGACTCAGTTGGTTGTTTGAAATGTGTTTTAGTGCTGGGCTGGAACGAAATATTGCCGACCTCAATAGGTCTCAAGGACTGGAATTGGAGAGCCCATAAACAGTTGCCTTGTTTGGTGATGTCATAGCTGGATCACCTTTGGACCAGTACAACAAGTAAATAAGAGCGGTCTCTATAGTACAACTGCAAATCAACTAAATAGGTATTCAGAACTAGTCTGGTCTGGCAAACATTTCTGGGGTAATAACCGTGGAACAGGGACTGAGAGAAGATAGAAAACAGACACATGCAGAAGGTAGATGTCAGGTTTTAAAGCAGTGTTTCACCATCCCTTGCTTACCAGGAACTATGACTTCATTTGGTCAGCATTGAGAAACATTGCAGGTACCAGTCCGGTTTTTAACCCCCCAGAGGTTTGGTGGTTTGTATGGTATTTACATGAACAAAACAGATAGGACAGGATGGATACAGTTTCCCAGAGACAGTTCTGTCAAAGGCTAATATCTACAGCCAAATTACAGGCAGTATTACAGTATGTTTACCCATTTCTAGAGGCTCTGGAGCTGGTTGCATCCATCTTGTGTAATGATTGCAAATAATGATTGCGGCTACAAGTCCTGGACATCACACATTATTACTCACTGCCTTGAATTAATCAGACCCCCGTTTTTCAGTTGTTTATCACAATTGTAAAGGATCCCAGTGCCCTATTCTCCTCATCAGTGTATGTGTGTGTGGGTAGTACTTAAGAGGCATCTAATTCATTTTATTATGTGAGTCAGAAATCAGAAACAAAACACATCAGCAAACAACAAAGTGATAAAGTAGTATAGCAAACAATAATAATGGGATAAAAGAGTATTGAACAATCTAAACAAAAAGCACACCCAACACAGGCCTGAGACACTGGGGGGAGTTGGAAGTAGAAACAGCACGTGGTGGAGTTGGAAGTAGAAACCCATTGAAAGTGCACTTTATCCCACTGCTGCCACCAGTGTAGCGATTCATGATGAACAGCATTTGTTGAGTTGGAAGTGCACTTTCTCCCAGTCCCATAGCATATACAGGTTGAGACCCTTGGCAGAGGCCATAATAGGCCCTACAGAGTGGTCAGCTACTACCCTTGCAAGAAAGATCCACTGCTAAAATGTGGCCAAGTTCATATCTGGGTGTCAAAAGCAAAACTCACAACATTCTCTTTCATCTTATTGAGTATTACACATCGGGCCAATGCAAATGCACACAGCCGATCAGTTCCCATGTTTTGGTAGGCGGGGTTATGAAAGGAATCCAATTCCAGGCGCTTATTGCTACAGACAGATTGCACTCAGCCAACGATGAGACGGCTGTGTCGTAGCCCTGGAACTTCCACTGAATGGAAGTTTTCAACGGTGTCCGTGCAACACCGTGCATTCAATTCTCAACATGACTTCAGAGGACAGGTGTGCAGGTAGACATTAGCCCACGCGGTGACTTTGACATCCTGGCGTGATAGGTGTTTGTAGACTACATTGAAACATTATGGAGGAACAACACTTGTTTGGAACCGACAGCGGTAGCCAGTCCTCTTCAGGGTCTGAGACGTTGTCCGGGGGAGAAGGCATAGAAGAAGAGCACCAATATGACGATAATTTAAACGACCGACACGCTTCAGACTTCAAAACTCTAAAAGCAGAAGGGCAGGAAGAAGAAAAGAGTCTGGCAGACGACGAGGTGGAACCGGGGACTAAAGAATATGGGGAAGAAGGAGACGACGAAATGGTAAAGAGTGCAAACGTGTAATTTACCCATTAAACGTTTCAACTAGCCTATATAGTGTCAATGGTTTTGGGTGAAGTGGCTTGAAGGGCAGGGGTGTGTGTGCCCTCGCAATTGACAATCATGCCTTGTTGTGTATGTGCACTGATGTGCGGAATACGAAATCAAGTTGTTTAATATTCTGCTAAAATATTATTCAGACTACAGGAACGAACACACACACACACAGGGATCTACACTACATGACCAAAAGTATGTGGAAACCTGCTCGTTGAACATCTCATTCCAAAATCATTGGCATTAATATGGAGTTGTCCCCCCTTTGCTGGTATAACAGCCTCCACTCTTCTGGGAAGGCTTTCCACTAGATGTTGGAACATTGCTGCGGGGACTTGCTTCCATTCAGCCACAAGAACATTAGTGAGGTCGGGCACTGATGTTGGGCGATTAGGCCTGGCTCGCAGTCGGCATTCCAATTCTTCCCAAAGGTGTTCGATGGGGTTGAGGTCAGGGCTCTGTGCAGGCCAGTCAAGTTCTTCCACACCGATCTCGACAAACCATTTTTGTATGGACCTCGCTTGGGCATTGGGGCATTGTCATGCTGAAACAGGAAAGGGCCTTCCCCAAACAGACCTGGGGGACAAAGTTGGAAGCACATAATCGTCTAGTATGTCATTGTAGTCCCCTGTAGCTCAGTTGGTAGAGCATGGCACTTGTAACGCCAGGGTTGTGGGTTCGTTTCATGAAAATGTATGCACTCACTAACTCTAAGTCGCTCTGGATAAGAGCGTCTGCTAAATGACTAAAATGTAAATTGTATGCTGTAGCGTTAAGATTTGCCTTCATTGGAACTAAGGGGCCTGTAAACAGACCATTATTCCTCCTCCACCAAACTTTACAGTTGGCACTATGCATTTGGGCAGGTAGCATTTTCCTGGCATCCGCCAAACCCAGATTCGTCCGTCAGACTGCCAGATGGTGAAACGTGATTCATCACTCCTGAGCAGTGGTTCCCAACCTTTTTTGGTTACTGTACCACCAACTGAATTTTGCTCTGCTCGGAGTACCCCTGAAGTACCCCCTCGTGCATTTTACCAGTAGGTCCTAGTACCCTGGTTGGGAACCACTGCTCCAGAGAACTCGTTTCCACTGCTCCAGAGTCCAATGGCAGTGAGCTTTACACCACTCCAGCCAATGCTTGGCATTGCGCATGGTGGTATTAGGCATTTCATGAAGCTCCCGACGAACAGTTATTGTGCTGACTTTGCTTCCAGAGGCAGTTTGGAACTCGGTAGTGAGTGTTGCAACCGATAATGGTGCCACGTTGAAAGTCACTGAGCACTTCAGTACGGGCCAATCTCATTTTATGTTTATGCCGAGCTGTACACAGTTTTGTCATTTTAAATTATTTTTTTGATTAGTGATACTCCATCAGTAGCCTAATGGTGACAAACAGTATGCTGACAGATTCATATGGTTAGCTTTCAGGGGGATATTGGAAGTCCCCAAGACAATTAATGAGGGCAAATTGATCTCACGCCAGTTCCTGGTGTGTTGTGTGATAACATTGGCTACTTCATGTTTAAGTCTTTTTTTTTTCATAGCAACCTGCAAAGCATGCCTATTGATTACTGTATATGACTTGGCTCAGCTTTGGAAAGATTTCAGCATAAAGTCGGCTGGGTATATGGACTATGTACTGAAAGGACAATTCATATTCACAGCACAGTTTCTTCCATTCAATTCTGCTCACTCGCCAGCCATGCTCAATATGCAATATGCACAAGGTCCTCAACAGCTGAGCATATGCAATAGCCTACATTCTGAATATCCACTGCTTCGCTTTGTTGTCAGTAGAGAGAAGCTATTGTTTGACGTTCCCAGGTTATCCTTTGGTGTTGAATTGTTTTGTGTAAATATATCCAGGCTTTGTAGAGAAGGGAAGAGCACCCCCTGAGACTTTAAACATACATCTGTAGCCTTGTGTGTGTGTTTTTGCGTGCGTGCTAGGGCCGGGACGATACCAGTATCGCGATACTCATTAGTATCGTGTTAAGGAAACAAAACACGAAGTGAATTTAACTTCTTTAAGAAAACAGCCCAATGTTGGAAACATTTATTTTCCTAACTATAGCACACAATATTTTATATACAAAGGTTTTTAAATATTGCGATACTGGTATTGTAGGAAAAAGCAGCTCTCTATATTGATTGATAACCACT